TGACCGTGACGCTTTTGTTGGTGGGTCCAGTTCTCCCAATCCCCAGTAGGCGTTTTCAGCGTGAATCTTCTTGAAAATAGACACATGAGAACCCAATGTTCTAGGCCTGGACCAAGCTGCTATGGTTAACGGTTATTTAAGGTACCCCGAGCCTGACCATTGACACCTGGCAGAATTAACATGAAACAACTATCTCCGGCATACATCCATAGATGTAAACAAAACCGGCTAGAGGGCGTTTCATTAGTCCCTTGCTCCTCAGTAGGCTACTTCTGGGTAGACGACTGTTTAACACTCCTCCAAGGATGTCTTGATTAGCATTACAATGCTACATCTGACCACGTGTGGTATCACCCTGTTGATGAAGAACCTGGCTCAGAACTGCAGCCTACTGATTACAGTGGAGTCTGAAGCTATGCCCCCTGGTGCCACTGTCCGGGATCGCAGAGATTAGTTCCCCACTTTGATACCCAACAGACCGTTCATTATATTGAACGTTTCGACCAAATCACTTCTCATGTGTCTGCGTCGGGGGAGATAAGTTGAGGTCCTTTAGTCTGTCCTCATACTCCTTGTGTCTCTGACCGGATACCATTCGGGTGGCCAGCCTTTTGACTCTTTCTAGGACATCCAGGTCCTTCTGTAAGTATGGTGCCCATGCTTGGACATAATACTCCAGATTTGGCCTGATGATAGCCTTATACAACCAGACCAAAACCTGCGGGTCGCTGCAGGACATCGTCACCCTTATCCTTGGCTTTTTGCTATGCGTTACGCCCGCGTTTGTGCGCATTGGTAACCTGTCGTTTGGTTAGGCTGGATTTATTTCCCTAACAAAAGACTTAGTTCTTTCTCCTCTTTGATAAAAGAGCAAAATATGTCTACATCACCAGAAGCCCCTTTGAATTGTNAAAGTCGCGAGTGTCCAGTCTGTTGGTGGCTGAACATCCTATCATACCCATCCACCAAACGCCAATGCATACACAAATTATAAATAAATAAATTCCGTCGTCGCGCAGGATAATCAGGACCGTGTTTCCCATTGCCTCGAGCGGGGCTGGTAGTGATAAGGGGGCTACTGCTCAGATATCCCAACCTTTGTTTAATTCTTCGTCTCCAGTACCCAGCCCTCCATTTTCTCCTTCCGACCTGTAATAGTCCCTCATGCAACTTAGATGTCGCTCGCCAAAGGTCGTTGCTAAATAGCACTGTAAATAGTGTATCACAAAACAAATTGCAGATTCTAAAGTCTCGCCAACCACTGAACCTGAGGGCCTTCAACTTGAAGACCCTGATGCAGTTGGGTCAACAAGCTTATCTGGCGCGTACAATGAAATCATTAGGGATTGATATCTACTGCGTGTCGGAGACTAGAATCCAGGATCCTACTAACATAAGCCACTTGAGCGCGCCATATTTGTTTTCAGATCAGGCGACGATGAGGCTGTTCTGTAAGCCAGCGCGGGATAGGTTTTGTATTCAGCAACAGAGCAGAGTCCTCTCTTAGCGACTGGATCCTTGTCAACAGTTGTTTATGTGCAATGCGTCTCCAGGGTTCAACCAGCGTCCGGAAGGGAAGCAATACAAAAGGGTGTTTGTTCATTGTGTCGGCATATTCATCGACCAATTGCAGTTCTGATACACTAAAGGACGCTTTCTACGATGAACTGACCGATCTCATTCGGATGAGTCGCAGCTCCGACATAGTTGTACTTGCAGGTGAATTCAACGCTCAGGTTGGAAAACTGGGCGCATCAGAAGTTGTGCTCAACTCTGCCAATAAAAAGATAATGGCGATCGACTTCTTCAGTTCTGCGCAGACCGTCATCTGCTCCGATCAAGCACCAACTTCTAACCCAGCTTTCGACGGACGGAAACGTGGCGCTCCAGTTCAACTGGTACGCTAACTCAAATCGACCACATAGCAGTAAGTTACCGTTGGCGTGGCTCAGTGCAAAATTACAGGTACGATTAGAGCATCTTCGATGAGTCTGACTACGCATTAGTTTTGGTGCAGTTCACTCTTCGGTTGACTAATCAACGACAAAACCAGCAAACTCATATAGCCCATCATTGATTATCTGACCCGGCAGTTTGTGCACTCTATGAATCAGAGCTAGTGCGTGGACTAAGCGCGCCTCAACCTGATGATGTAGATGAGCAGTGGGATCAGATTAAGCGAGCAATGCATTCCGCAACGAATGTTGCTTGTGAGTCTGAGCCTCAAACCCATCGGAGGTATTGGATATCTCAAGAGTCAGTAGTC